GGGGTGCATTGTTACCACTACCTGACGATGTGGCGGATGCAACATTAGTGGCAGATGCAATCAAATCGTTTGTTGCATGGCCGTCAAGCCTCGTTTGCATAGATAATGAGGTATGCTTAAAATCGTTTACTATTCAAATTTTGTATGGCAGTTATACTTACATTTTGTTTACATGGTAATGTTAGACTCCCATAAAATCCATTCCAAAAGATAAGGGGATTAGGCGGGATACCGAGTCAATTGCATCATTTGAGGTAACACAATTATATGACATTTATGCTATGAGAAATGCTAATTTGTGATTTTATACTTCCTCTAACTAATTATATGATAACTAGGTTCATGCTAAAGAGACTGCACAACTCAATAGGGGTAAGGCGCCTCAAATTAGCAAAATTTCCACACAAAAAAAGAATGTTGCTAAGAAGACTGTGGCACACAAGAAAAATACTGCTCAGTTCAGGTCGTGCCTTCGGACATATTTAGGAATTACAAATATTCCGGATGGTGGTACCCGCCTTATACCTATGAGTGCAGACATCTTTGGTTTTGAATATCTTGAAGCAATTGGTAGAGAGGATATGGAGCAAGTTTTTAGGCATTTGGAATTAGGCCTCGGTGTTATCGGTATATATATCAGGTATACTCCGATCAACTTTGTTTAATTAAATGAAAAATTTAATCCCTCATTTTAGTGAATATAGTATAATGTTAATTATGTTTTAATTTAAGGTTTATGTATGACAACATTGTGCGCCCGCGTGGATTAGAAGCAAGATTTGGCTTCTTAGCTCCCAACACTGTCAATTCCGGTTTGATTTTAACGAGACCAGATGATGTCATATCATATGTACTAGGTTTATTCGTGGCCAGTAAAGATACTGAGAAGTTGTTATTTTTGCCATATAATACTGGCAACGGGTTAGATTTTCATCCTAACTTGATCTATTATAATTTTCCGTTTTTGGCCATTGTTTAATCTTTGTTTAATCTTACAGTGGACACTGGTTATTGGTTGCGATTAATCCTATGAGAGAAACTGTGTATTATCTGGACTCGTTATACAATGATTGGTCAACATATCCAGATTTGAAACAGATGATTGACACGTAAGTGTTTCGCTCCCAAAGAGATATTCAAGTTTATGTTTATGTTTATGGTCAACATATCTGGATTTGTGTTTATGTTTATGATTCTATGTGAGATTGTTCTAAACAGTCATTTATATTTTATTATAGCATTCTACTTGATTTCCGCTCCCAACGAGATATTCAAGTACCAAAAAGTAGAGCCAACAACGTTACATTGATCCGAGTGGAGGTATATTTTCATAAAGAGATATTCAATTTTGCTTACTTTAGTGATGATACTTGATAAAACAATTTAAGGGGTATATCCTGATATATATTCGTATTTTCTTTCCATGTGTAGTGTCCTCGCCAACGTAACGGTATAGATTGTGGCTATTTTATGTTGAGGTTTATGAAAGAAACTATTCTTTTGGATCGATTAGAGATTCCATCCACGGTATGGATTTCTAACTTAGGAATTACATACTATTTTCATATTTTGTGTTTCTCATAAAATGACATATTGTTTTAACTAAATCACATACTATGTTATATTATTATATATGTAGTACTTTGAGGAATTCAATTGTGCACATTACTCAAAAGATCAATTGGATGAACTTATGGAGGAATGATGTCAATTCATTATTGGGTTGAGAATTTTATAAGCTAAGGTATATTGTCTTATTTCCTTTGATGAGAACTTTCGAGTTTTGAGTATAAATTAAATTCGAATAAAGTGCAATGTTAATACTATCATGTTATGAATTTCGGTCATTTGGTTTTTTTCCAGGTTTATAGGTACATGTGTAGAAGATAGAGGTAATATATTCATGTTGTTGTTGTTTCATGAGAATTCTCGAAGATAGAAAGATGTATAGATGTAAATTAAATTTTGAATATTTTAGGCATTTTAACTTGTAGAATTTTAACTTGTATCATAAATTTTGTAATTGTTGTTGTCTATATCATCAATTTATATATATGTGCAATTTTTATATATGTATATTTTATTGGAATGAAGCTACCAAATATGGTGCATAAAAGATAATTCTAAAAACCTGGATCAAAATATTGGAATGACGCTACCAAATATTGGAATGAAGCTACTAAATATGATAAAAATTCTGAATAAAATAGATAATTTATTAAAAAAAATTATGAACAATAGACAGCGCTTTAGGAGAAAAGCGCTGTAAAAACTTAAAAAAAAAGCGCAGCCTAAAGTCTGAAAGCGCTGTCTAAAGTGGGGGAATAGACAACACTTTCAAAGGAAAACGCTGTCTAAAGCCTATCTGAAAAAAATTACAAAGCACTGCTGTGATGCGGTGGGAGAACTGACTTGAGGTTTTGCGTTTGTGTTCGCAAATGTTTCGGTTTAGCAAGAGTCACCACCGACTTTTATTTTATCTAAAAGGAAAGGTAAAAAAGCACAGGAAAGACCTTTGAGATTGTTTTTGGGTTCGGGAGGTAGATTATGAAAAGGGAAGGTGCTAGCACCCTTTTCATCCATGGTTTTCCATGGGCTCTTAGTTACTTGTTTTAGATCACTTGTTTTTGCTTTTCAATTGTTTGAAATGGTGCTTTTGTGTGTGGTTTTGAAAGTATTTTGAAAAGAGGCATTTGTTTAGGCAACCTTTGTAATGATTCTTGTTTGAATGTATACAAATGTGTTTGTCTTTTGAAAAATGTTTTAATGTTTGAAAGTTGTTTGGAAATTGTTTTAAAATTATGTTGTGTGTTTTGAAAATAGCCAGGATGGTTTGCAAGAGATCAAGTAACTAGGAGTTGTCTACCCTACTCAAAGATCTTTCCTACACATTTTTATTCTTTTGATATTATTGTTTTACCATTGTATTTGGTAAACAACCCTATCTTTGGATGTTAAACGGGACGGGCGTGGGTCATCGTATGACCATGATAGCAATGGTGCCAAGTATCTTAGCAAGCTTTTTTAAAGGGACTATATCATTTTTGTATATGCAACCAAGATAGCGTCATCGAGGGACTATGATCTTTTTGTTTTGTTTAATTTTGCCAAGATACCTAGCATGCATACCATGGCCATTTCTAAGGCAACAAGTGGATGAAACCCTAGGGGTGCTTGTGTGCATTGTGTTGTCATTTTTCATGCATTTTTGTCTTGTGTTTAGTCATGCTATTTGTTTTGATTTTGGTCTTTTGCATACAAAACCCTAATCTTACTATCATGGTATATGAAAGCGATAAAATGCGTAAAGTAAATCTAAGACTATTACAACATTATTATGGGGAGGGGGTACAAGTCTTGAATAGGGGGATATTTGGTCAAAATAAAACTCTAAAACTATTACAACCATATTGAATTTATTTGTACAAATAAATAAATAAGCGAATATTTAAATATACAATTAAATGTAAGTATGCACAAATGTTTTTGTATTTATTTTATGTATGTAAAATAAGTTTATTTAAGTTCTAAAAAAATAAGAAAATAAAAGTGATTATTTTTGAAAAGGGTGAAAACCCTAATTTTTTGTTTTAAAAGAAAATATGCTTTATATTATTTATTTATTCATTTTTTGTTTAAGAAAAATAATAATAATATGTACAAAAATATCAAGAAATAAAAATATGAGAAAATAATATTTTAAGTGCATAAATAATAAAAATAAAAATATATAATATTTTTGTATTTTTTACAAGTTTTATTTAGAAAATAAAGTATATTAACCTAATAAACTATTTTTTGTCATAAAAAATAATAAAAATAATAACATAAAAATGTAAAAATTAAGAGAATATTTTTGGTGATTTTTAATATTTAGAAAAATAAATAAAGTCAGAAAATATAAAAGAAATGAAAAATATACAAAAAATAAAGAAAATAGGTCAAGGGGGTGCAGGAAGTAAAAGAGGGGTGCAAATAGCAGGACAAGCCAGGCCCATGCCTAAGTTCCACTTCGTCCCTAACCTCTGAATAAAAATGCGTGCGCCCTGTACTTCAAACTGTATCTCCTGCATACGTGTTTAAAAATAAAATCTTGCAACATGAAACTTGTAGCATTTTTAGTCACGATTCCATTGATATAAAAAACTTGACCTAACTCTCAAAGATCAGAGAGAATTTTGTCATCCCTAATTTCTGACCTAAAATTTTCAGCAAGTTCATCATCCAAATTCTCCTAGCTCAGTTAATATAAATGGAAGCTATGCATATGTACAGTTCAAGCAACTTAAAGACTATATTTTTGCTTCACAAACCTAAGCCTAAGGATGTCTAAATAAGGATATAGAAAGTTGGAAATTACCTTGTTCAGTCAAGTTTGAATATGGCAATGCAGCAACTTTGAATGAGGCCTGAAGGACTTTTGAGCTTGCTTGATGTTACCTTGACCTTTCCCAATGCAAGGCTTTGAAATGGCTTAAATCTCCTTGTAGAACTCAACCTGCAAAGTTTCAAAATGAAAATGGTGAAGTGTGCAAACGAGGTTACAGTTGCAAAGTAAGGGCCTAGACAGTTTAGGTGTGTTGTATTGAATGTGTTTGAAGTGGTTTCAAACAAAACACACGAGGCAAATTTGTTTTGGAAGTGGTTCTGCAGAGCTTGCCCTGTTTAAAGACGATAACAACAATATTTCCACATACCAATTCCATTGAAGACGATAGCAACAATAGTTCCACATACCAACTCCGTTAAAGACGATAGCAACAATAGTTCCACAGAAGAAGATAACGAAGCTATCAAATTAAGGTATGATTTCTCACTTGTAACCTACTAAAAATATGAACTTTTTTCTTTAGCCATCTTCCTAGTACTTTTGCTATCTTATTTAGGTTGAATAGGTAATAGAGAAGAGGTTTAAGTGTGTTGTTCATAATTCTGGTGAGTTTTTTGGGAGGTTTCTAACTTCACAAAGTCAGGGTATAAAGGGTCAGAGACCATTTGAGATGTTGATCCGGATTATTGGAGTTACTTTGAAATTTTACGATGAAATGAATGTTTGTGATATTATGTTGTTGGAGGATGACAAGGGAACTAAGAGGATGAAAACAATTATGGTAATGACCGGGTATTGTCATTTATATGCTACTCATCCTCTTTCACAGTCTGACATTATTGATGAATCAATTCTTTCATTAGAATTCATTGATGAAGTTGTTGTGGATGTGAGAGCTGACTTAAGAGTTAATGAAACTATTGTGGATGATGACATAGATGGAGTAGAAGTTAATGAAGATGTTGTGCATGAGAGAGATAACTTAGGAGTTAATGAAAATGTCGTGGATGAGGGAGATGACTTAGGAGTTAATGAAGATGTTGTGCATGAAGGAGATGACTCAGACAATAAAAAAGATGTTGTGGAAGAGGGAGTTGACTTAGGAGTTAATGAAGATGTTGTGGATGTGGTGCAAGAGGGTATAAAAGTGGGGACCAATGTGTTTGGAAATGTTGAAAATTTGGTGCAAGAGGGGACAAAAGTGGGGACCAATGTGGTACAACAAAGTACAAATGTGGGGACCAATGTGGGTGATGAGAGGATAAACTATAACATTGAGAAAAATGTGGGTGATGAGGGGATAAACCGTGGCATTGAGGATAATGTGGAGACCACTGATAGACTCAATTGTAGCAAAACAAAAGTTGAGGGAGTTAATGGTAACCATGCATAAGATGAGGGATTTAATTGTAACCAGCCAAATGTAGAATTAGAGGAGAATAATGAGGGACTAAACAATAACCATATAGAAGATGAGAGAGTGGAAGCAGAAGTAGAGGTGGAGGTGGAGGGTAGTGAAGACAGAGCTTTAGATGTCAATTTTGAAGACCCGGAAAATGATATAGAAATTGATGGAGAGATAGTAGTTGATGATGAGGAAGTGAGTACAAAGGAAAAGGCAAAGAGCAAGACAAAGGGCAAGGCAAAGTCTAAGGCAAAGGAAAATGCAAAGTATAAGGCAAATAGTAAGGCAAAAGGCAAGAGAAATGTGGAAGGATCAAGTGAAGAGAGTGGTTCACTTGATGCGTAAATGAAGGTGAGGTCTTAAAGGCAAATTTAAGAGGATTAAGTGACATTGAAGAGTATGATAGTGATGAGTTACCTCGTGAGTATGATAGTGATAATGATGAGATTATAAAGGATGCTTTTGTAACCTTCGAGCTTCCAAAAAAATGGGAGACTACAAATGGAATGTAGGGACTTATTTTGCTACAAAGGATGACTTTAAGGAGGGTATAAGAACCTATGTTATACATTTAGGGAGAAATTTTAAATTTAATAAAAATAACAAAAGAAGGATGAGAGTGAAGTGCAAAGATGGTTGTCCATCAGAGACATACTGTGCAAATATAAAAGGTCAAGAAACTTGGCAATTGAGGACAATAGTGGATAAACATATATGTAGTAGAGATTATAAGATTAGGTTCCTAAATTCCAAGTAGTTAGGAAAAAATATTCAAAGCAATGTTAGAGAGAACCTGAAATTTAAAGTTGAGTGATATTATGGAAAGTCACATGAAAAGTGGAATATAGGCATCAACAAGACACTTGCATATAGAGCAAAGACACTTGTTTTTGACATTATTGATGATTCATTTAAGGAGCAATATAGAAGAATCCATGATTATGGCCATAATCTGTTAAAGGGCAAACCCAAGATTAACTGTTAAAATTAAAAGTGAACAACTATTTCAAAGAGAAGAGGGAAATAGTGACCCCTCTGAAAGGCAAATGAATCTTCACTTCCAATGGATGTATATATGCTTCAAAAGTTTTTTCAAATGCAAACCTATTATAGGATTGGATGAGTAATTTGATTAATATGATTGAGGAATTGGCAGTGACCAGAATAATGTTTTGAGAGTATAAAGTAGGAGGTATTACTGATGAAATTAATCCAATGTTGATTACAAATTGCTCTTCATAATATTCTTTCAATACAATGATTGTGTCTCCTACCATATTCTGACCATGTAAAAGCAACACCTCTAGTTAGTAAATATATCATTAACACCCGACTAAGTTTGAAATTTCTAAATGGAGATCCTAGATGGTGAATGGAATCTTCTATACTCATGAGTTCTAATGACGGTGTTGAAATCACCAATGAAACACCAAAGTATGTTATGGATAATCTGCAGTTTTTGAAGGGTTTGTCACAATTCTCTTCTTTTGACATACTTGGTGGAACCATAGATATCTAAAATGCCAAAACAATGATCTCTATCCTTTATTGAGAAAAATATTTGTTGACCAGTTATACTAATGATCACAAGGTCAAGGTCCTTAGAATATAAGCACAATAAATTTGGAAGTAAGTTAGGCCTATCATTAACTACGAAAATCTTTAAATTCATTATATTGAGGAATCTGACAAGAAAGGCTTCAAAATCCATTTAAGGTTTAGTTGGCTATGAAACAAAACTCAAGCTTATTTTCTTAATAAGATTGCCTAAAGCTAATCTAGAGGGTTATTGACAATCCCTCTTATCAATGTTACAATAAATGCACTTCATTGATGGGAGTTTGGAGTGCTTACCTTGGATCTGGTACTAAAAGATCATGCACTAGAGTTTCCTTTAAGTGCTTGTCTAGTCGTCTTCTTCTTCTTCTTATTCTTTTTATTATTCTTCTTCTTCTTCTTCTTCTAGTTTTTGGACATAACAGGCTGGAACTGAGCACAAATCTCTAGCATCAGGTTGTCTTTCTTAAACACCTCTCTCAGTTTGAGGGGCTTGGATATTTGGAATACCTTTCATGTTAACCCACGATTTTTTTAGGAAATTCATGCCCTATTAGATTTCTTTTGATAGACCTTTCTTTCTAGATTCAACTTCTATGTCATTTTCTGAGTTGCATCAACAAACTCAGATTTAGTTGAACTTTGTCCTTTTTCTACAATGGTCAAAATAATGTGCGGTTTTACTTGTGTCTCAAGGAACTCCACTTGATCATGGGTAGAACTAACATCATGGTTCATATCTTCTTCAATGACTAGTCCTTTGGTAGCCGATGCTTCTTTTCCTCCAATGCTTATTTCATTTTTCTGCGGAGAGGGATCCTTGGGTGAACTTGCAATGTGAAAAGGTGAAAAGGTTGTTGTTGAGGCTTTTCCTTTATCACATAAATTTGGCCACGCTCTTTATCTTTTAGATTTGTTTTCTACCTCAGCTTTGCTTTGATCAGTATTGTGTTTGGTGATTCTTTTTCTTTTACAATTTCCAACATTGTGCCCAATTTTCATAAGCAACTCCAAAACAAAAAAAGCATAGCTTTCTTTCAACTAATATCTTGTTTCTGGTCCTAGCAGTCAAATCCATATCAACAAGTATCCTAGCAAAATGTCCAAATGGTCGATCAAACATCGATTTGTTGGTGGTGTCATCCATACAAATTGGACCCAATGCTAGCCACTGCAAAAAGAATCTTAGGCCTCCAACATTCTTAGGAGAGGCAGAAATTTCACACACTTGGTGCCTGATGTTTGATGCTGAAACTAGGGTTAAAGTCTCCAGTGCATGCAAAAGCTTAAAAAAATCAAAAGCATGAATGCAGAAATGGCTTTAACCCGTCTTTAATCAGGCCCCATTTTTCTAATGACTTCTAAACTGTGTTTAACTTCAAACACAAGACATCAATTTTTAAAGGTTGAGGTTGTACCTCTGGACTAAATCATGTCCAAACCATAATTTAAGTACATGGTTAATAGTAAAAGTCGCTAACTCTAACACAATGACGAACTTTTTTTTTTGATAAAACACAATAAAGAACTTTAACTTTACAGTTTGTATGTAGGTTTATGCTCGTATTTGGTATACAACATGTCAATGTCAGTGTTATTTATTCCCATATACAGAAAAAATCATCTAAATACAAAACAAATTGTATAAACAAACAACTCCATGTTTTCCATTTAGCAAATAATAAGAATCAATTCCTTCTTGCTTAATGGATCATCGAATTTGGGTGCGGCCCAGTGACCAAAGGCCTGTATCTTTAACTGGGGCCTGGAAATGAAGCAAACAGAAATGTTAGTAGAGGTTTCACAAAAAAGGCTTTTCTATAAGTTAGCATAATTGAAAATTGGTGACATGCTCACAGGTGTTTTCATTGATGGGAAAATATTCCAAAACCGCAGAGTCTCATCCCCAGCACCAGTCACTATTGTCTGCAATTGTATTATTCAACATAAGGGATTAATGAACAATTTGTTTTAATAATATAGTAAAAATTTATCACGTTATTATGTGGACATTAATACCTGACCATCAGGAGACATTGCTAGGTATAATACTCTCATGCTGTGACCAGTAAGAGTTGCAACCTTAAAAACAAACCAAATCCATATGGTTAAGACATTTTATATTTATTAATAATAGTTTCTGGTTGGAATTGAACTCTCAAAGTAAAGTAATACCTTTGACAGTGATGGATATTTCCACACCATGATTTGATTTTGTGAGTAACCATGAGTACTTACTAGCTCATTTACATTTTTACTCCAAGCAAGGTTACACACCTGCAGGATTATACACAAAAGCTTAGTTTGGTGACAATGTTTCAATACGGATTCTTGCCAAACAACAAGAGGTATGGATATAAACCTGGCTTCCAGTGTCAACCGAGTTCAATTGGTGACCATTCGTAGTGTTCCAGAAACGAATGCACCTATCAGCAGTTCCACCTCCGGACACAAGGAGGTTGCTCTGGTGAGGCGACCAAGCAATGGCCTTCACAGCAGCCGTGTGCTCTGTAAGTCTCAAAGTTGGCGTCTGAGAATGCTGATTCCATACCAACAGCTGCTCATATAATAATAAAACATACATTGAACAAGGGGTGAGTTAAATGCTCTAGAAAAATACTATACACAAAGCTTAGAAACATTGGCGCCAGAGACCATACTCAACATGTATTTCATCGGATAATATCCACACTCATATCATTTTGGCTGTAGCCTCGTCTTCAAATAAATTTTATATTAGCAATGAACAAGGGGTATATGTTGTGTGTTAGTATACCTGGTTATCATTACCACCAGAAGCAAGTTCCCTGTCATCACATGACCATTTCAATCCACAAACCTGTCAAGTTAAAGAATAACAAGTTATCATCAATTTCTCTACTTTCATATGATTGATCTTACAATACATTATTACTCGTTCAATGAGTATTTATTTGTCAATTTTTTTATACCTCAGACTTGTGGCCGACAAGCTTGCCAATAAAGTCACTTGAAACCCTCATGTCATGCTGAAGTATGTTCCTATCCCTACTCCCCGAAGCCAAAATTCGAGAATTCCATGCCAAGACACCGGTTCTTGTTTGATGCCCTGCCATTGTTCTGACCTTTTTGCATTTAGTACCATCCCAAATCTGTTACCATAAGCCAAATCTGTTATTTTCAAATACATGTATGGAAACAAAATCTAAGTTAGCTAATAGCTAATAAGTTACCTGAACTTGACCAAGGTTTGTACCAATAGATATGAAAGAACCCTCCTTGGTCCACTGGACAGAACATACACCATCATAAGGCCCCAAGTCACATAGCTTAGTCACCTGAAAGCCACACAAAGATATATATTACATGTTTAGAAGAGGTGATATCATTGACAATTTACAGTTTCACTCACTTTGCTGTTTGAAGCACTCCATAGATAAACACAAGTGCCAAGCCCTACTGCTAGAGTATTTTGTGAGGACCAGTCCACAAGATTCAAGTAAAAGTCATCTTGAAGCGAAGGCGCATCCAAAACCTGCACATACCAATGTTCAATTTTATCATCAACATTAAGCAATCACTATTAACTCTAACAACTTATCTTACACTATGAAATACAAACTCTCTTAAATAATAGTTACTTAAACTTGCAAAGATTTTAGAGCTAGAAAGGTGAACAATGCACAAACTCTTCTGATTGTTCAAAAAACTCAACACAAAACTAAATTGTTAATTGATCATTGTCATGAGTGGAAATTGAGCTATGCTATATATGATTCTATCTTAGGGTTTAGGTAACAAATTGTCTTGTGGGGGTGAGGTTACCTTGTGGGGTGTCTTGGGAACTTTCCTAGGAGGCTTAGGAGGAGTAGCAGATTCATTAGAGAAACCAGAATGGTGACCAAAAATCGAAGGCGACGAAGAAAACGGCGAAGAAGGTCCAGAATGATCGGTCTTAAACCGAAGCATATTCTTGCTAGGACTGATCATAGGCGAAGCAGGAGCACCAGCAGCACCACAACCTGCAGGAGAAGAAGGAGAAGCAAAATCAGGTCCGAAAAGTTCAGATTTCAACAACCTCGAATAAGCTTCATTACTCCCTTCTTTAACGGGTGACGGTTTTTCGATTAATCCGAACGTGTGGAGCCTTGAAGAGGATCTACAAGGTATGAATCTATCACTACATGAAGAAGTTTTAGAAGGTGATGATGATGAGAGATTCGAGATTGCGCGAGGCGAAGCGGAGGAAGGTGGAGTTGAGAGGGTTTCGAGGCGTAAGGAGGTTATGCTGGACATTCCAGCTGGGAGATTTAGCCCTGATTTTCTTGCTTGTGGTGACTCCATTTTTGTGGTTTTAATTTCTTGAAGAAGATAGAAGAATAAGAAGAATGAAAATCTTGTAGTTGAATGGCCACTCTCTCTGTGAGAACAAGGGGGGAGGAAGGGACAGAGAGACGAAGAAGAGAAGATTGTTAACGGTCGAATTTTGAGGATGTTTATAGAGAGAGAAAGGAAGTGGTTTTGGTAAGTTTATTAAATTATTATTATTTAGTTTCTGAAAGAGAGATATTCCAACGGTCAATTACATAAATAAGTTTTCATGCCGTTGAAGTTTTATGTTTATGTTCATGCTCTTTCCAACATCTAACATTAACTGTAGCACTGAATTTGTGCTCTTTTCTTACTATTATTCTCGATATTATTATTATTATTATTATTATTATTATTATTATTATTATTAAAACTCTTTAGAGGATACCATATAAGTTATAGCATATACTTGATAGTTGACGAGAAATAATGGATCATATATTACCGTATTTTCCTTGTTATTTTATTCTTACATCAGCGTTAAATAATTGTTTATTTAAGATATTTTATTTATTTAATTAAGATAGTCCATAATATATATATATATATATATATATATATATATATATATATATATATATATATATATATATATATATATATATATATATATATATAAAAGTGAAGATCCACATATGCGAGGCTCATATTAATAAAAAAAAAACATTTTCATCTAAACGAAAAACTCGTTTGTTTTCAATTATCTAGTTAAGAAAAAATTGAGTTTGAGAAATGAGACCGATCAAATAGAAATACTCAACTTGTCGGAGTGCATTTTCAAAAGCATCTCTCACCATATAAAAATTTTTACGTAAAGATTTGGATAGCTTTATACAAAGATAAAGATGCGGCTTACGCATGTTGGTAAGACTGGCCTCAACCTTCTAATGACTGTCTTAAGACTCATTCAGAGTCTTCTCCAAGTCCTCAGTTTGCTTTCAGGCATCCTCCAAAGACTGATTTTCTTCATTTAGAGCCTCGTCCTTATCATTTAATACACGAACTAGTGGTTTCACCTTTTCAATCAAGGAACTAGAGTACCATAGAGGCTCTAGGAAGTTTCTATGGCATGAAATCAATTGGAAGCATCTTGTACCTCCTGTAGACACCCGTCCATCTCAAGGGTAAGGTCTCCAACATTCTTCTTCAAAGTTTCTCTCTCCCTACAAAAGTGATCGGCCAAGAAAAATTTCTCCCAACCAACAACACGGAAAGTAAAAACAGCAGATGCCCAACAAATATGGTAGACTAATTCAACAAATTCACCCCGACGAGCCTCATTAGGGAGCCAGAAAAGTGAGAATAATCCTCGTCAAAAATAGAGGAACGAAATTCACCATTCGTTCTCGGTTCCGAATAAGCCAATAAAATATGGTTGATATCTGTGATACGGTTGGAGAACTGACTTGAGGTTTTGCGTTTGTGTTCGCAAATGTTTCGGTTTAGCAAGAGTCGCCACCGACTTTTTATTTTATCCAAAGGAAAGGTCAAAAAGCACAGGAAAGACCTTTGAGATATTTTCTTGGGTTCGGGGGGTAGATTATGAAAAGGGAAGGTGCAAGCACCCTTTTCATCCATGGTTATCCATGGGCTCTTAGTTACTTGTTTAGATCACTTGCTTTTGCTTTCCAATTGTTTGAAATGGTGCTTTGTGTGTGGTTTTGAAAATATTTTGAAAAGAGGCCATCGTTGTGGCAACCTTTGTAATGATTCTTGTTTGAATGTATACAAAGGTGTTTGTCTTTTGAAAAGATGTTTCAATGTTTGAATGTTTGAAAGTTTGTTTTGGGAAATGTTTTGAAATTGTGTTGTGAGGTGTGTTTGAAAATAGCAAGGATGTTTACAAGTTTTGATCAAGTAACTAAGAGTTGTCTACCCTATCTACTCAAGAGTCTTTCCTACACATTTTTAACCCCTTTGACAATGATGTTTTACCATTGCATTTGGTAAACAACCTTGTATTTGGATGTTAAACGGGACAGGCGCGGGTCATCGTATTGACCATGATAGCAATTGTGCCAAGTATCTTAGCAAATTTTCGGAGGGACTAGATCATTTTGTATAGGCAACTAAGATAGCGTCATCGAGGGACTATGATCTTTTGTTTTGTTTTTGTTTTGCCAAGATACTCAACATGCATACCATGGCCATTTTAAAGGCAACAAGTGGATGAAACCCTAGGGGTGCATGTGTGTATTGTGTTGTCATTTTCATGCATTTTTGTCTTGTTTTATGTCTAGCTATTTGTTTTGATTTTGGATATTGCATACAAACCCTAATCTCTATCATGACATATTTGAAAGCATAAAGTGCGTAAAATAAACCTAAGCTATTACAACATTGATATAGGGAGGGGGATACAATTTTGAATAGGGGATTATTTTTTGCAAGAAATTAAAACCCTAAGTTATTACAACCAAATTGAATTTCTTGTGCAAATAAATAAATAGGCAAATATTTAAATGGACAAATAAATAAATATGCAAAAATATTTTTTTGTATTTATTTTATGTGTGTAAAAATATAATATTTAATGTGTAAAAAATAAGAAAAAAATAAAATGTTATTTTTATTAAGGGTGGAAACCCTAATTTGTTTTAAGAAAGTAAATATATTAATTATATTATTTATGTACAATAAAATAAAATAATAAAATATATACAAATGTCAAAAAATAAAAATATATTAAAAAAAATAATATTTAAGTATGTAAATAATAAAAATAAAAAATATAATATTTTTATGTATTATTTTCAAGTTTTTTATTAAGGAAAATAAAAGTATGTTATTTAATAATTATTTTTATGTTAGAAAAAATAATAAAAAATACAAAATAAAATGTGAAAATTTATGAAAATGTTTTTGGTAATTTTTTATGTTTAGAAAAAATAAAATAAAATCAGAAATGAAAAAGAAATAGAAAAATATAAAAATATAATGAAATGGGCCAGGGGGGTGCAATCAGTAAGTTGGGGGGTGCCAAAAGTGAGAAACAAAGGCCCATCCCAGTTCCAGCTTCATCTTCAACCTTTGAATCAGAAAAAACGCGCGCCCTGTACAAATGTCCAACTCCTGCATACGTGCTCTAAAGCAAAAACTCACAACATGAAAGTTATAACATTTTTCAACACGATTCCAACCATATAAAGAACTTAATCCAACTCTCAAATACCAGAGAGAATTTCTCTGTCCCTAATTTCTAACCTAACTTTTTCAGAATGTTCATCAATCAAATTCTCTTAACACACTTAACTTAAATGAAATCTATGCATATGTACAGCTTGAGGGCAATGAGTACTACATTTTTTATTCACAAACCTAAGCCTAATGATTCCTAAATAGAGAGATAGAAAGTTGGAAAATACCTATTTCAGTTGAACTCATGTATGGCAATGTGGAGGTTTTCAATGAGGCCTGAGATGTTTGTGAGCTTGCCTGAACTTCCTCTGACCTTCCCCAATGCTTTGTTTACTTTGAGCTTGCTTGAATAAGCCTGTAGAAGTCAACCTGCACAAGCTGAAATCAGAAATGGTGAAGCTTGAAAATGGAGTTACAGTCAATGGCCAATGGTTGGGATAGCTTAGGTGGGTTATATGGAATGTATTGGAACTGGTTTGGGACAAAACGCACGAGTGGTTTGTGAGATGGAAGTGAAAATGCAGAAACTGCTCTGTTTTGCAAGAAGAAGGTGTTTTTGTGTTTTGGAAGGCTTGAGGGTTGGATAGCTCGTGCTTCTGGCTCAAGGCAATGTGCAAAAGTTGTTTGGAAAGGTTACAAACTTTGTTCTTATCAGATTTCAAAATTGTGGATCTTTTGCAAGTTTACTTGGTTTTGAAGTAAAAGTGTGAAATGATACAAGACAGGCATGTACAGGCTATCTTCAAGCATGCACAAGTTTGTTCTACTTTTTCCTAAGTTTATGGAACTTGTTTGCTGCAAAGTGAGGGGTCCAAGGCTCAAGGGAAGCAAGTTGACATAAAGTTGCCTTTATCAAAATGGCATAGTTCACTTTTTGCCAAAAATAGATTAAACTCTTGTTAAACTTCCAATAATCAGAATAATGCCTCAAACCAATGAGTTTGCATTGAATTTTTGAGTGTGGAAGGGTTTAGAGACCTGTATTCAAGTACAAGCTAAGTTGGACAGATTTTGCAACTTGTGTCAACATGAAAATGCCATGGATCAAAAGTGAGTTTTTTCCAAATTCAAACCTTTGATTCTCTCTAACCATAAATGATTTTGGATAGTTCTTGGACATTTTGGAAAGCTTGAAACATGCTCTACAATCCATATTTGAAATGCATTTTGATATTCCAAGTGGAACTATGTGAAAAATGGCCATGAAGATAGGTCAAAATCCTGCCTAAACTAGGGCAAAATTTCACTAAGTTAAAAGTTTCATGGACCCTTGTTCCAAAAATCATAACTTGAGATACAAGCTTATTTTTGGAAAACTTTGTGAATAAAAGTTATATATTTTGTGGAGGACTACAACTTTTATGTTGGAAGTTTTGTTTGAATCCAATTTCATCATGATGAAAATGTTGGGCAAAGTTGTGAAAAAATAAGAAAATTTCATAACTTAGAAAAATTCTAAGTTATGAAAATTTTCAATCTTAAACCCTAATTTGCAAAATTAGGTTTATTGATGAACAAGTTTCATGTTTTGACACATCTTGATGAAAAATGACCCTTGGAACTTGATTTTGACCAAAAAGTCAAAGTTTGACTTTTCAGTGTACAGTTGATTTTTGATCAGTTGATTGGAAAATTCATCTGTCAATCCAATGTATTTGAGATCTTTTGAACCTTATGAATAGGTAAAGATGATGTCATTGAGTCCTTGAATCCATACTTGAACCCAATTTGCCACTGGCTAGGTAAAAAATCATAAATTGCCCTTATACAGTCAAAACCCTAAAAATGACCATTTTGCCCTTTTGGTGATCTGATCAAATTTCTTGAGGAGTTGT